TGAATTTGTGAAAATGGAGAAAATTGATCATCGTTATATGGAATAATGAAAGGTGTCAGCCCAACAAATATAAAAGCTGGAGGGAAATCATAATTTCGTATTAACTTTCATATAACATCTAGAGGGCGCTGCGTAAACTTTTGGCACTTTTCATGAAAAAACCTAATTTCCACACCGTTTCCAAGTAAAACAGGTGCACCTCCTCAACAACGCTAGAGGTGATCGTTTTCGAGATATTTACAATGTTCCATATCGATGCATATTACTTAGCTCCTAGGGCGCTAAGTGAAGTTGCTGAGAAAATTACAAAAACTAAGTATGTAGTGTATCTCGTCAAAATAAACATTTTCTTCCTATAAAATGTTTAACGAAGAATGATTCGTTTTCGAAATACAGATTATTGAAATTTTTCTAAACATGGTAGGTTTTTGTTATAAGTTTTTTTCAATTTCAGTTATTTCCATCAAACTTTATACGCAGTACCCGTACAGACTTCTTCTAAATTGAGCATTATCGAACTGCTTATTCAATCCAAATTTAAAAAATTTGTCAGGTGTAATTATTCAATTAGAAATTGCTGCATTTCGGAGTTTGTGGAGAAAAACAATTCGTAGAAGTACTGTTGGGGCTAGCATAAACTGGTGATTTCCCCAAAAAAAAAATCAATGGATTGAGGTCTGGTGATCTCGGGGGCTAATGCTCAGTGCCTCCTCTTCCTATCTATCGTTGGGTATATGCTACGTCTGAAAAATTGCCTGCTATCACATGAAATGAGCAGGAGCTCTATCGTGCATGAACCAAGAGTGATTTCGGAGACCAATGGGAACATCTTCCATAAGTTGGGGAAGCTCATGTTTCAAAAAATGTAGGTAAGCATCTCCATTCAAATGTAAGGAAAGGAAATAGGGCATAAATAAATAATCCCCAATTATGCCTACCCATACATTAAAAGAGAATATGTCCGCCCAGATGTGGTTGTTATAAAAATTCATGATACCATTTCTTGAAAAATTAGCCTCATCTGTGAAGAGGA